GATTATTGTAAAGAATTCATTCAAATCGTTTTGTATAGGAGTTCCAGACAGTAATATTTTTGATTTCACGTCCAAGCTCTTTAATATGTTTAAAATCTTTGATGATCCATTCTTTAAACGATGTCCTTCATCACAAATTAACATATCTATATTATCTTTTCCTGATAGAAGCTCTTCCGATACAGAAAGTAACTTTTCATACCCGATTATAAGAACTTGGTAAGTTCGTTGTACTCTTAGAAAACCTTTAACTTCAAACTTATCTTTTTCGGAGTTATTCTTTGATTTCAAAGTTAAAATCCCAATTCTAGCCAATGTCAGCCATTTTGCAAATTCCTTTTTCCAATTATCGATCAAAGTCACTGGGCAAACAACAATGAATTTTCTATAAGCACCATGCAATGCCATACCTGACTGGTTTCTTAAAACTTTAGACGGATAGGCTGTTTGTTTTAATAGTGTCCAGATTAATGTTATTGTCATTAACGTTTTACCTAACCCCATTTCATCAGCTAGTAGACATCCGTTAATGTCATAATCTTTTTCCAGAATCAATGAATTGGAACAATCCGTATCTTTTTTTTCTTCTGGTCTACAAAAACCAATTATACAATCGTACATGAACTTCACACCTTGTTTTTGATGCTCACGTAAAAATTTACCTAATAATGGATCAATTATTACGTCTACTTCAGCATCCGACGCTTTATTCATAATTATAGGCGATTCAATCTTTGTAACGTCAAATACAGGTAGATATTTCCTCTCCACTGTACCAGCTTTAGAATTACTATCTAAACTATTAGTCTGATGCTTAATTTCTGTTTTTAAGGCTGGGTTTTGGAATTTTGACTTTGGTTTAATCTTAGCGGTAAAAAGTTGAGATAATGGCATATAATTGTCTTTCATTGGCGTTTCATCTCTTTTCACTGGTTTTGATTTGCTATTCTCAACAGCCTTACCACGGCTGTTATTAATTGCAGAATACGTTTTCGATATTTCATCTTTATCCTTTATTTCATAATCGATCTGAAATTCCAAAGAACCATATTTAAAAATGTTACCATATATAGAGTCAATATCCTCAGAATAAGTGGTGCTAGCCAAATATTTTCCACCATCATCATAAAACAATACCTTATTTGTGATCTTATAAAGGGCATATCCGTCCCCAGTCCATGTCTTATGCTTCTTCATAGTGGATTTCCTGTACATGGCGGTAAACACATGCTTTATATCATCATTAAATTTTGCACTGGATGGTGCATGTTTGCATGGTTCTGAAACGCAATCATTTGATTTAGGCTTCTTTAAAGAGGAAACCGAATCTATAGAAGGTACAGATCTTTTAAGTACCGATGGCTTTGGAGACGGTGTTGAACTTGATGAACTACTACCAATACTCCTTGGTGGCTTAAATGGTTTATTCACATATTTTGGAAGTTGCATTGTGATTAAACAAACCGACAATATATTTTACAACACTCAAATGCACTAAGAGTTTCCCCACATTTGCATATAATGACTGTTACATCATTCATTCTTCTTATAAATTAATCTATATTCGAATTAGTTTCACCTACCTCTTTCAAAATATTTGTTATTAGTTTTCGAAAAATTAAGTATGGTTCCGAACTGCGATGCAATATTGTTGAAGGTATTTTATGAACATGGACGTCATAAGACATGATTAATATAAAGTTTAAGAAGGATACCAATTGAGCAAGCATTGATAATTATCGAATAATATGGCTACTATTCAAATTTGTAATTGATTATAAGAATTTTAGTTTGTTATGTTTTTTTTCTTTCAAGAAGGAAACGCAAATAGTTTTTAACTAAAAATATCAATATCATTAAATTTAAAATCATAATTAATTGGGGGTAGTCCATGAATATATATGTTATTTAGTTTTTATTTGAAACTTTTTTATAGATCGATCAATCGAAAAGTTTCAAATAAATTGCAATGCAGTTCTCCTTAAAGGAGTATTTAGTTTTTCGTTATTTAAGAAGTCTAATCCATCATTTACATCAGTCCAATTACAATCACCTCCTTTATCTTCGATAACGAATAATGCTTTATTTTGATTAACCATTGATGTAGATAGTTTATTTTTCACTTTTTCTCTCTTAAAATTGTCCATTATTTCGAATTCCTCATATAGGTATTCACGAATTGTTAAATTACTGTCATTTGAAAATATTGATGATCTACTACCAGCAGATTTATTTGATGATGCACTTAATGGATATTCGATCGACCGAGTTCTACTATCTTCTCTTCTATTATTTGAATTGTTAGTGTTCGTGTTGCTATCATTATTAAAATGTTGAACTGCTAAATTGTATTCTTTTAATAAATTTTCGTCAAGGAATAGACTTCCTCTCTTTAATGCTTTTTTCCTATTCTTTGATGCGGTATTATTTCTGGTCTCAATTTCATTTATTGATTCGATTATAGTATTATTATTACTATTGTTATGGTTGATTTTTATTTTCGAATGTCTTTTTTTAGATGAATTCAAATTTGGGTCATTACTATTATTATGATCTATATTGACAGACTTCCGACGTTGTGAAGCCAGATCAGTACTTGAACGAAGTGAACTTCCACGATGAAAAGAAGAACGTTTTTTCTTTAAATCAGAATGTGAATTTGAGTGTGAATTTGAGTGTGAATTTGAGTGTGAATTTGAGTGTGAGTTTGAGTTCGAATTAGAGGAGGAAGTTAAACTTGAGTTTGAAGTTAAATGTTTCTTTGATAATATTAACATTTTTAAATAATTGTTATTATAGTCAGCTTCTTCTACAACAGGGTTCCTTCGAAGCTTTTCAAGAATAAGAATTAAAATATAGAATGGTCATAATTCCAAGTAATAAAACATATAGATGAATAACTCGTAATATATATATATATATATATTTATATATACACTTCAGTTGTTATGTTACTATTACAATTGATGTAAATTAATACACAGGCAACAAATACATTTTTCTTAGTCGTTAACCTAATTCGAAACGAAAAATTCAAATAGTCAGCCGGTGCTTGCTACCAAATTTGTAAAAATTTGGCGTTTTTATTTAATTTTATTTTATTTTTTTTACCCAGTATACTACAATTAATTACCAAGGACAATTATTACAACAAGAATCTCCTTCATGATATTCTCAATCCTCATCAACCCTGTTCCTAACATTTGGTAAAATAACAACCACAATCACTATGTGACTTTGTATAGGAGATGGTTGGCTGGTTAGTTATTTACTACTGAACTGGTACCTATCTGAGTTGTAAAATCTCGACTGTTAAAATGAAGGTCAGTTTTCGCGTTTTATTCTTTTTTTTTATTTTTTTTTTTTCAATATCGATTTTTTCGTTTGAACAGGAAAGAAATAATAATACCTTAATAAGAAACTTCAATCTTAATTATAACTAGTGATATAACAAATACCCTGGAGTATAGTGAGATATGTGCTTCTTAGCTTTATTTAATCCATTAATTATTGGGACATCCGTTGTTTCAAGATGGTAAGCGGTTAGGGTCATTGTTTCCCATTGTGTTGGTTTTTTATTTTAATTTTTATTTATTTCCGCCTTGGGTATTTTTTTAGTTAATTCCAATTAGTTTAGTACATTTTTTCCTTTTACGAGCAAAAGTTATCCTAGCTTTAAGTATCTGTGTAAATAATTGTTTCTTGCATTGGATGGATACGATCAAGGCTTATTCAATTGATTATTAACGCGACTTGACTAATATCTTATATAATTTCATGCATTCATTGATGGCTTCCTCAATGGGTAGTAACACGAATGCTAGAGGTCATTGTTAGTATTAACCATTCTGTTTTGCTATTTCTCCCTTCTTTTTTTGGGATATGATTTAGTTAATTAATGAATGGATTAAAGCTTATTCATTATCCCATTGTTTTACTATTTTCTACAAGTACTGTAATGTTGAATTGTCTGTACATCACATCACTACTCTTTTACCTGTAACAACAGAAACCTTATCAAATGAACTGAAAAGAGAATAATACTTCGTTCGTAAATGCTTTTTTATTATAACATTAGAATTTTACAAATATGTAAATTTATATAATATATTTATTTTTGTTGGAAATTATTTCATTTTTAAATTTATTAAGAAAAGAGATTCGTTACGTTTTCCTAATAATTTTACATTCTAGAGTTAACAATGTCAACAAATTCTGGCTTCAAAGAAGCACCACCGACTAAGAAACCGTCAATGTCCTTCTTGTCCTTGAAAGTAGAACAGTTACCACCGTTAGCGGAACCACCGTATAAGATTCTGATTTCTTCAGCAGCCTTTTCACCGATCTTGGAAACCAAGAACTTTCTGATGGAAGCGTGGATGTCTTGAGCATCTTCAGCAGTGGCAGCTAAACCAGTACCAATAGCCCAGACTGGTTCGTAAGCAATAACAACGTTAGTCCAGTCCTTAACTTCAGCAATGACAGCGTTCAATTGTCTTTCAACAACTTCCAAAGTGATACCGGCCTTCTTTTCTTCCAAAGTTTCACCAATACACAAGATGACACCAACACCGTTGTCTAAAGCAAACTTAGTCTTGTCAGCAACAATCTTGTCATCTTCGTGGAAGTAAGTTCTTCTTTCAGAGTGACCTAAGATGACCCATTTAGCACCTAAGTCCTTGATTTGGTCAACAGAGTTTTCACCAGTGAAAGCACCAGAAGCCTTCAAGTAAGTGTTTTGACCACCGACAGTGACTTGTGGCTTGTTAACCAATTGGACAGTGTAGTCGATGTAAGCAGCTGGTGGACAGATAACGACTTCAACGTTTTCAGCCAAGTTAGCGGTGTTCAATCTTTCAACGATTTCCTTGATAGATTTTTTGTCACCGTTCAATTTGAAGTTACCACCGACGAAGAAAGTTCTAGCCATTTTTGTATGTTATATATGATTTGATATTATATATATGGTTCTTTTATGTAACTAGAAGTATTGTAAGGTAAAATAAATATTGAAAACAAACAATAAAAGGTTAAAATAAGAATAGCTATAGAAATTGAAACAATAGTTAAGCAAAAATTAACTATGACAAATGAAAATAACTTCTAATTCAATTAATCAAACCTATTTATATATAAATAATTATATATATCTATATTGATGTTAGATATACATAATTTCAACAAAACGTAAGGTAGAAAGGAAGTATAACAAAATTTGTATATACTTAATAATATTAGGAAAAACCATACAAGGGAACAAAATGTTCTTGTTCTTGAAAACTTAATGTATGAATGAATGAATGAATTTATTGAATGGGCAACTTGTTTTGTATATCTAGCTGAACATTTGATTCAAAGCAATTTTTTTTATCGTATTTCACATTTATTGCATTCATCAAGAGACATTTTACTGTAGGAAGAAGTGATAACTTTGAAATAAAAAGAAAAAGAACCTAACAAGAAGTTGCAGAAAATCAAAGCAAATAACAGTTTTTTTTTATTCACTTTCGTAGTAATTATTCAATCAGATTATAATTTATGCAGTTATGAAATATGAAAAAATACAAAATGAAGAAAGTTGCTGAGTAGAAGTAGGAATGAATTTTATTGCGTAAAATAAATTTGTGATAGCAAAGAATCTCAGTAAGAGAGGCAATTTTAAATGTGAACCTGTCTGCAAATTACTAGTTATTGACTTAAACTGATCAAGAAGTAGACTAGGTTTTATTCTGACGCTGTCTTTTAATAGTTATCTGAAGGAAAATTCCAAGCTGAGCTCTTTTTTTTTTGGTTTCTCTTTTTTTTTGGTTTCTCTTTGTTAGTATGGTAATTATTTTATTTCAGTATTACGTAGGCATATCTGGATGATGGAGTCTACAAATTAGTGGAAGCCGGGTTTCGAAAACCTCTAAAATATAGTAAGAGAAAAAAAAGAAAAACTAAAAACTGACGCACGGATGGAAAAGATCCTGAGAAATTCATCATATAAAAATTTCGAAACTCGAAAAAAACCCGAAATCATAAATAGTGGAAGCCAGAGGGACGGATGGTGAGATAAAGATGCAAAAAAAGAAAGAGGGCGGGTAAACTAGTTAAGTACCACCTATTCATCTCCGTATTGGAGTTTCAATCAATAATACATTTCTAATATGTAGAGATTTTGCACGTTTTAATATTTAATGGGAATCTTCGTCTTAGACGATACACATTTTTTTATATTGCTGTACTTTTGATTTGAAAGAATGTTATATAAATAATTAAATTGATGAACGAGAGAAGTGAATAGGAGATAGTTATATAATAGGATGAACATGTTATTAGAAGTCGGGTAAAATATATATTTCAATCTTTTGCTCATCAAAAAAAGAATTGTAATACGATATCGGAATAATTTGAGAAAAACGTCGCAGCTTGAACGAGAGGTATAAAGTATTGGTAAAGAATTAGCGGAACGAAAAATTTCACACAATGGTTTCAAGTTCTTTATATACTCTCTAGTAAATTAACTTCCCAATGTTTTATAGTTGGGGCTTCCATTTATTTTTGGCTTTTTTGTTCCGGCGTAGTAAATATAGGTAGTAAAAGCTGGAATATTTTGGTAGCGAAACATTTGTAATATATATATATGAAAATATATCGATATCTTCTGACCAAAGAAATTTATGTAGACAGTACAAACATACTAACTTTAAGAATGAATGGGATGGCTGGATAGGAACAAAGGTACAAGGATAAACTAAGTTACTAACCTTAATATTTTCAATAAATGTATCATTTACTTAACGATTACTAATCTCTAAGTATTCCTTTTATTTCAAGTAAATGCCAGAAATAATGTATAATATTTATATTATTAATTAAAAACCCGATGAAGTCCAGAAGATGTCCCTAAATACAACTATGTATATATAACTTATATCATATCTCCGTTTTATAAGAATTTATTAAAATTTGAATCATTTAACCAACCAACCTTTTCAAAAGCTGTATATAACCGCGATGCCTTATTAACATCGATCTTGCATGCCTTTTGTGCATCTGTTCTTCTGAATGGCAACCGTTTTTTCAGACGATAAACTTTCTCTAAAAATAGCCTTTTCTTAGAATCAATGTAAAGATCACATGGGAGACGTAAAATTTGAGCTAATACCAATTCAGATGGATGTAATTGATCTTTCAATAGGTCTGTGGAGAGATCCATTTGGGACCCCTTCCATTCAACACTTAAACAATTTAATGGCTTACCTTTTAACGTAGATAAAGATGGCGAATAATCGGGGAGTTTATTGCAAGAAACTTTTGGGATATATTGTTGGATTTCACCGATTGCGTTGATCGATGCTAAAGGTGAGATAGCCGAGGTTGCTGGTTTCCTGATACGTTTTATTGGAGTAACTGGTTTCTTAATCAAAAGGTTTTTTTTAGAATTCTCATCAGAATCACAGTTTTCTTCATTATCTCCAACATCTTCATTTCTTCCAAATTGGGGCGTTGAAGCAGCCTTATTTGTTCTTTTTCTTGCTAAGCCTCTGGTTCTATAAACGTGATCATTGTTAACAGCGAGCTGGCCTTCTTTGGCTCTTAAACGTTTTCCGCCGCTGGGCCTGCCTCTACCGCTGATATTAGTACTATACAGAGTAGGAGAATTACCACCTGAAGTCTTGAAAGATCTATACTGAGAAAGAAAATTTAAATTGCTTTTACGATAACAATTAGCATTTATATCTTCTGTCCACGAAGGAACTACTTTTATGATGGGATTTCTTGATGACAAATCAAAAGATCCAGGAACTGGATCCTTTTTACATGGAGGAAATAAAAGAGGAGACATTGGAGGTGAAGGAAACAAACTTTCATCAATTGGAGCAGCAAAAGGTTCGCCTCCATCTGTGAACGATTCCCTAGATTTCAACAATGACAATAATTGAGCATTTCTGTTGGGTAATACAGAAACCAACTCTGTATGTATATTTTGTGGTGACTGGTATACCATTCTCACAAGATATTATTAAAGTAATTAGTAATACTTTCAGTACAACAAATACCTATCAAACTTAAAAGAAGTGCAATTGAATAGATTATGGAAAAAAATATAGCTAGCTTTCCAAACACCTGGATATTTAATATCTTGGTTGAAAAAAAAATTATATATGATTAGATGTCCAACTGGATAAAATTTGTCTGTAATATAATAAAACTGTAACCTTAAATGAATATATTTCTGAATTGAAGTAAATAACTGAACAATTGGCAATTAATAATCAAATCAAATTATATACATATACATATAAATATATATATATATATATTGATGTTATTATTATAATCATTTGGCCATAGCTTTTTAATCAAATTTGAACTCATCTCATCTCATCTCATTTACATCCATTATCGTTTCTTTTTTATCATATACTACATACATTCCCAAAGAAAAAGGAACGTGTGGCGTTTCTTTTTGTGTCACAGTATTGTTACTTTGTTCAAAAACCGAAAAAAGGAACGACAATTAGATCCGATACAAATTAAGACTAAGTAGGACTAATTTGGACAAAAACATAAAATAGTTGAACCTTTTAACAAAGAATCAATTCTTCATCACTATTACAATTACATTTATTGATGCATATAATACAGGAGTACCTTGTTAATCATGCCATCATAGTTATTTACCGCGTCATGTCATATATATATACAGATATATATAGCTTATTATTAATATTACATTGCAGTCTTAATTCTTTTTTTAGGTGGAAGGAACTATGTTGCCATTAACATTGTTATCGTATGCTATATCGAACAATTCTTTAATTAAATCATCAATTTCGTTACTCAAAGAGAAATCATGTGTGTAATTGATATTACTGACTTGATTCATTTCTTGTTTTTCTTGTTCAATTTCATATTCTATATCTTCTTGTAACCTTCTCGGCAATTCGAATGCTTGGGAGAATTCCTGATAAAATATATTACTGAAAAATGATAACTCATTATCCCAATCCCATTCAACATAGTTTGAAGATTCCTTTGAAAACTCTTTTAAGTTTTTCAAACACTTGATTGCCAATAAACATGAATACAATTGATACAAATTGGCTTTATCATATGATCCAAACTTGTTTTTGAAGTTATTAAATAACGTTTTTAAATCATCAATGATTTCAATTACAACTATTCTGGCTTCCAAACAGTCCTCTATAAATGGTTTGTTGAAAGTCAGTCTAACAATATAATAGTAGTACCAGAAATATGATAAGGTTGGATCTGTAGAGACATTTTCATCTTTCAAAATATCCTTTGACCACTTCAAGAAATCTGGCAATGATTGTCTCCAATTAGAGACATGCGAATTAAACTTTGTTAAATATAATACTTTTTGTTCCGTATCATCAGTTTCAATGAAAATTTTAGAAGTAAAAACTTGGACAATTCTTGAAAGAATAATTAGATTCTTTAATGGTAATGAAATTTGCAAAACATGTCTACTAGCAAATCTAAACTCTTCGGTACCTTCAACTTCGGGTAATTCATCTGATTCTGGGATAGTTGAGTTACTAACGCTTAACGAAGAGGTTCTTCCCAACATTAAGCATATAAAATGATCAGCTATATAGCATCCCCAATAAATTCTGGATCTAATTTCCAATTCACTATTGGTTAGTTTTAAATTACTATCATCAGTAAACCAAACTTGAGGATCTAATTGGAAGCCCATGTCATAACCGACACGAATAGCCAACCCGGAAAAATACCATGCTAATTGATTATTACCTTTCCCTAATTCATAAAATGCCAGACAAAATAATGCTTGAACAGTGGTGATACATGCTACACTAGTTTCATCAAATACTATTTCAAGCAATGCTTTCTTACATTTTTCATAGTAAACTTCTGATAAATCCTGAAGGTCTTCTGATAATCTAGAACCAATAGCACATACTGCATAAATCAATTCTGTGGAGCAGTACTGTGAATCTCTATAATTATTTTCTGCATGATTAAAAAAACCATATAAGAAACTTTCTCTATGTACAAAGATAAAATGACCTGGATACAACCATTTGTAAAAGTTTGATAATGCCTTCAGAATATTCGGGTCATTGTTAATTAGATTAGCGTTCTTAGTATCAGAGGACCTGACAATGATTGTTGTCTTTAAATCAGAAATACGTTCTCTTGAGTTTGATAATGGCTTATTCAACAATGTATTAGAATCATTTGGAGAATTCGACTTTCTAGGCATTTGGGACCCTGGTGAAGGACTGTCATTAGAGACCGACGTAGAAACCGGCAAAGAATGAGACTTGGATTTTGCTTGGTAACTCACTGGACCTTCTGGGTATAAACTCCCTTTAACGAAAGTTTTCTTCTTTTTTGAAACCATAAAATTCTCATTAGGATTACCACTACTGTTTAATTTATTCTGATTCGAGTTTCCATCCAATGAACTAGATAAGGGACCTACATTAGAATTTGAATTTACAGATTTCTCTATCTGTAGCAAATTTCTAATCTGTTCGTATTTATTTGGCTCTGATTGATCTTCGTGAACAGTAACCAAGGTTGACAATACTTCATTTAGGGGCATATTATCGAATGTTTTAGCAAAATCTGGATACAATTTTTCGGATAAATTTCTTACATTAGCTTCAACATTAGAAACTTGACTCTCCAAAGATTTTACATATGAAGCAGAATACCTTTTCTTTCTTAAATCAACATCATTAACGTTACACACCAATTTCAACCTTTCACAAGTACCACAGGGGTATCCTAAATCACACTTCTTTCTCCTGCGCCGACAATTGGAACAAGCCAATCTTTTAGTATTTCCTGATGACATATATTGACTGTAGTTTACCTTCAACTAATAGAGCAATAAAATATCTTTAAAACTATATAACTAGTCCTTTGTCTCGTTTAATTTTAGATCCAATTGTCTTATTAGAGGACCAAGAAATGACGATACATAAATGAAAGTTAATATTCTAGCAACCTTAGAATCTTGAAGTATAGACTGTAGGCCTCCGTTCGATCAATTTGCTCTTTAAATTACAACCTTTTGTTTTGTAAATACTCTTCTTTATATTGCAATCAATCCAAAATCAATATTTTAAGTCGATGAGATTGCATCGTGTAATTTTTCAGCTAAATTTTTTGATTCTAGAGAGTAACCGCACGAAACAAAGTTTAGTCTAAGCCAGACTAAGTATAAGAGAAAACGATAAGGAAAGAAGAAAGACAAGTGAACATGAAGAAAGACAAAGAACAAAGAACAGCAGAATAATTCAAAACTCTGTACAAAAGAGAGAGTATAGAAACAATTAATGTTAATGATACTATTAATGATAAAACATATAGAATTTAAGGGGCGTTTCCTATTCTTTCAAAACTGACTATGAATTGTCAATTGTTAACTCTGTTTTCTAGTTTCTGTTTAGAGAAAATAAACACACAGAGCTGCAGAATTTTAGTAATTTAAGTTGATTTGGTGTTTTTTTTTTACTGTTCGAAACTGATCTGACATTTATTTCCCTGGTATTATTTATTTTCGATACTTTTCGAAAGCTCAAGATCAAAATTGTGTATGGGAATTTTTCTATAAAATGAAAACTACTTAAATTGTATCAGGACATTTTCTGTAACCATCGACTTTTTTAACAATCTCTTAGGTCACCATATTCTTTTACGTATATCGTTTTTGGAAGCACACCCCTCTTCTTATCGTATGCTTTTATACATATAATTTACTAAACGTCATTCCGAAATACGTAGACTTTTATTCATTCGAGTACAAGCAGTATAAAGGCTAATTTGTTAATTAACATAACAACTTACTGTTATCTTAACACACCCATACAATTAAATCCATAACCGGATGTAATCTGCCCGTATAAATATCTTGGTTAAATTGAAACAAACACTGAGGAGAAAGTAGTTTAATCTATAGGAATACTAATACTACAAGATATATTAAATTACGTCTTCTCACCCACACATGGTTTACACTGAATGCCACGATCATTTACTAGTCCATGTTAAAAATAACATCATGTTAAAAATGACATCATGCTAAAAATTCCATCATGCTAAAAATTCCATCAGACAAAAAATTGAAATTTAGAATCTATAGTACTTTTGTCCGGGAGTTCCCCGGTTGAACCGGACAATATCAAATATCAATTATTGCTTTTTCCTCAAAGCTGAAAAAAGTTCCAATATGATTTTATCAATGATCAAATTTAAAGTATTAGATCAAGATGGAGAATTCAAATGCTATGTGAAGTCGTTATATCAATTATTTTTTGCTTTGAAAGCAATAATAAATTGAGAGCTTCATATTAGGTGAATCCGATCCATTCAAAGAAAGTTGAAAACCTTTTCTACTACTTTGAAAATAAAGAAGAACAAAGAAGTTTTGGTAAAGACTCCAGTTTACCTTAATTTTTTGGTATATCAATTTTCAACACAAACACTATATATATATATATATATATATATATATTGTTGTATTTGAATGAGGATTGGTTTATATGTATTGTTAATTTGGTTAAAGAGTATTATAGTTTTCAATTGCAGTTATTCAAGACGTCGGGGTTAAGTTTAAAATCTTTGTACGGTTGTACCTTTAGAAGAAGGTTTTTTGCAACTGCCAGAATGTCAGTAAATGAAAATTTACCAGTAATTTGGAATGCTAATAAAGTTCGTGATACATTTTATGATTATTTTAAATCAAAAAATCATACTTTTATTAGTTCATCTCCAGTAGTGCCATATGATGACCCTACTCTGTTATTTGCGAATGCTGGTATGAATCAATTTAAATCAATTTTCCTAGGTACTGTCGATCCTACTTCAAAACTTTATGATTTAAAGAGGGCTTACAACTCACAGAAATGTATTAGAGCCGGTGGGAAACATAATGATTTAGAAGATGTTGGGAAAGATTCTTACCATCATACTTATTTCGAAATGTTGGGAAATTGGTCATTTGGTGATTATTTTAAAAATGATGCAATTGTATATTCCTGGGATTTGTTAACAAATGTTTATAAAATTCCTAAGGATAGACTTTATGTTAGTTATTTCGAAGGTGATGAAAGTCAGGGATTGGAACCAGATTTTGAGGCAAGAGATATCTGGCGATCGGTCGGAGTACCTGAGGACCATATTGTCCCAGGTAACTTAAAGGATAACTTCTGGGAAATGGGGGAAGAAGGCCCTTGTGGACCTTCTTCCGAAATACATTACGATAGAATTGGAGGTAGAAATGCATCCCAGTTAGTTAACAAAGATGACCCTAACGTTTTAGAGATTTGGAACCTAGTTTTTATTCAATACAATAGAGATTCTGAACGTAAATTAAAGGCATTGCCAGCCAAACATGTTGATACAGGTATGGGATTTGAAAGATTGGTGTCTGTTCTTCAGAATGTTAATTCTAATTATGATATCGATCTGTTCACCAAAATATTTAAACGTATACAGGCGATTACGAATGCCAGAGAGTATACTGGAAAATTTGGAAAATATGATGTAGATGGTGTGGATACAGCTTATAGAGTACTTGCAGATCATGCAAGAACATTGACGTTTGCATTAACAGATGGTTGCATTCCAAATAATGAAGGTAGAGGGTATGTTATAAGACGTATCTTAAGAAGAGGAGCTAGATATGCTAGGAAATATATGAATTACTCAATAGGTGATTTTTTCTCTAAATTGATACCTCAAGTCATTGAAGAAAACAAATCAATTTTCCCTGAAGTTTCAAAAGATTTCAATTATATTAAAGAAATACTAGATGAGGAAGAAGCATCATTTGCTAAAACATTAGATCGTGGCGAAAAGCTGTTCGAAAAATATGCCTCAGATGCTTCTAAACTCGATTCAAAGACCTTAGATGGCCTGCAAGTATGGAGATTATATGATACATATGGATTTCCTGTTGATTTGACAGAGTTGATGGCCCAAGAGCTGGGATTAAATATTGATGTTCCTGGATTTGAAAGAGCCAAAAAGGACTCATATGAAGCTTCCAAGAGGGCATCAAAGAAATATGATATTGACTTGTTTAAGTTAGATGTTCATGATATCTCGAAATTAAATACAGATGCAGTTCCTAAAACAAATGATAAAGACAAATACGAGACTACTGATGTAATGGCTACTGTTCTAAGAATTCATGACGGATCTGAGTTTTTAGATGTTGCCGCAGATAAAGATAAAAAGTATGGTGTTATTTTGGATAAAACTTGTTTCTATGCAGAGCAAGGTGGTCAAATATACGATAACGGTAAATTAATAATTGATGGAAAAACTGAATTTAATGTTGAAAATGTACAGGAGTTTAACGGATACATTCTTCATATCGGAACTTTAATGGATGGAAAACTTTCAACTAATGACAAAGTTGTCGCATCTTTTGACGAATTAAGGAGGTTTCCAATACGTAATAATCATACTGGGACACACATTCTAAATTTTGCATTAAGAGATGTTTTAGGGAAAGATGTGGAACAAAAAGGTTCATTAGTAACTCCCGAAAAGTTTAGATTCGACTTTTCTCACAAGAAACCCCTGACACTTGATGAAATCAAAGAAATTGAGATGATATGTGATACCTTGATTGTCAGTAAGAAACCTGTCTTCTATAAAAATGTCCAGCTAAATGAAGCCAAGCGTATATCATCTATCCGTGCTGTATTTGGAGAGTCTTATCCCGATCCAGTACGTGTGGTTTCCATTGGTCAACCTGTTGAAAAAATTTTGGAAGATCCTACTGAAACAAATTCATCAGAATTTTCAATTGAGTTCTGTGGCGGAACACATGTAGCTAATACTGAAGATATCCAAAAATTAGCAATAATAGAGGAAACCGGTATAGCTAAAGGTATCAGAAGAATAACTGCTGTAACTGGTCCAGAAGCATTTAATGCTCAAAGAATTGCAGAGCAGTTCAATGGAGAACTAGATGACCTGAACTCACTACCATTTTCTGACGCAAAGGATAAGAAGATCAAAGAATTAGGATTTAGTCTAAACCAATCTACTGTCTCAGTTTTATCTAAACATTTATTAAGAGAAAAGTTTAATAAGATAGAAAAAAAATATAAAGAAGAATTAAGGAAAAAAAATAAATTAGAAGCTAAAGTAATTCTTGATAAAGTGCAAGAGTATTTTAACACCAACAAATCGTCCAAATTTTTTGTATACGCATTCGATATACCTGCAAATTCTAAAGCAATTACGGATGCCATTAATTATATCAAAAATTCTAATAATGATAAATCCATCTATCTTTTAAGTGGTGATATAAAGGGTAATAAATTAGCACATGGGTGTTACTTGTCTGATGATGCTATTTCCAAAGGCATAGATGGAGAAGAATTAGTTAAAGTTGTCACAACACTAATTGGTGGTAAAGCTGGTGGTCGTAAAAATATATTTCAAGGTGTCAGCACTTACAATGATAATATAAATGAAGTAATTGACAACATTACTAAAATATTCTCTGAAAAACTAACCTAATCTAAATATGTAATTTTTATTTGTAAATAGTCAAACTTTGAGATAAATAAAACTTCTTAATTAATTAATATTCTATCAATGTTCATCCATCAAAGTCAATAGGATCCATCTATCATATGATTTTGTACTTTATTGGGGAGTGTTAAATTTTGGCTATTTTCGCAACATCAATTCTTCGCACTTTAAATTTGAAAAATATTCTTAAGCTATATTAAAAATGAGAAATTTATAGTTAAAGAAGAGGATATCGATTAATTGATTCGTTGAACTAAACTCAATTATCAAGCCAAGCAGAATATAATAATACATAACTACTTATATTATCCAAATAATGGTTCGTTTAAAAAGTAGATACATTTTGTTTGAGATTTTATATCCAAATAGTGATGAAAATGGGAAAATGATAGAATCGAAATCATCACTTCGAAAAGATATTTTATTACGTCAACATAGAGTTTCGCCACCTGAAATTTCAATAAAGACAATCATACAAGAAATACGACGTTCGTTACAGTTAAATTTCGGAGATTATGGATCTGGCAAAGTAAGTTCTTTATTACAATCAAAATATTTCTCAAACATGACATCTACGGGAATAATCAGATGTCATAGAGAAGATTGTGATACACTTATAATGGCCCTCTTTTTCATTAATAAAATTGGTGACATTGATAATTTGATTATAAATCCTGTTAAAGTTAGTGGGACAATAAAGAAAATTGAGGAATATTCTATTAGAAGAAATAAGAAACTTGCCAATATAATGGATAGAGATCAAAAATCATTCATCGATGACTATCACAGTGTTAGCGATGACGAACCAAGAGAAGATTGAGATATTTTCAGATTTACATATATTTTAAACCTTATATAACTAAGATCATTAAATGCATATTTATTATTATTAATAACTATAAATGTCACTTCCCATATATAAAGAGTAATGCAGCTTGACTACTTCCTGCCTTCACTATTCCCATTGTCCGTTTCGGCAGCTGTGAATTCAATAGGCCCATGGGTTGAGTAATTAGAGCTGTTAGAACCGTTGATGTCCGAATCTTTTTCCTCATTTATTGTTTTATCAAGTTTACTGGCATTAACACGATAGATGTTATTAATATCTTGTTGGACAAATAGTGGATTTTCGTACACCTGATCATCTGATCTCTTAGCGTTAGCATTGGCAGCTTTCGAAAATAATCTTGAATCATAAGTGATTTCTGATGTCTCTGTAGCTTTTGCCGCACCCAATATGACTTTGTCGGATATATCTCTACCTTGTGCATACGCCAACTCCCTTAATCTATCAGCTGTACTCATTCTAGACCTCTTCAATGCTTTTTCGGTATCTAATTTTTTAACACGTCTATTGTCCTCACGTTCTCTTTCACTATAATCGATATTATCACCTGTAGTAATTCTGCCCTGATATCTACTCTTTCTCTGCCTCTCTCTTTCTTCTCTAGCTCTATTAGATAAAATACGAAGCTTCATTTCTTTCTCTTGAAGTTCTTGCTCTGCTAATTGCTTCTTGGCTTCTGCTTTCATCTTCAATTCTTCCCTCGCTTCACGATCTGCTATTTCTAATGCAGATGAAAGTTCTGAAAACTTCTTGCTTGCATCAGTTTCAACTGTAGCCCCAGAATTAACTCTCTTGTCCAATGCAATCGCATAACCTTTCGGATTTTTCCAATTTGACACGGCAGATGGAATATTCCATTTCTCCCTTTCTTCATCTGATATTTTTTTACTTTCAGCAACATTGGCATCTGTTTTGTGGAATATTGGAACTTGTGTGGATTCAACTGGAGGTGCTACAACCTTTTTAGCTTTAAATGTAACAGGCTGTAATGGATCTTGTGCATGTTGCGTTATGGTAATAACTCTTTCAGTATTTTGATTTGATACTTTATGAATAACCTTGGATGACATACTTGCAATTTTATTACTGATAACCATATTCCCAGGCTTTTCTAATTTCTTAGATAACAATATATCAAAGGCATCCTTTGTTCGTCTAAAGGTTTCGTCAATTAGTTCCTGTGTAGGGAGAGGTATGCTCAGGTCAAAATTCCTCTGTCTTACGGGCAAAAAGTCTTGAAATGAGACTCCTCCATTAAACATAGTCTCTAAAACATTATTCTTGTGAATCTCATTATCTTTTTCACGATATTTTTCTGCTAGCAAAGCCTTAACTTGAATCTCATTGACATTGCTAAGTTTTTGACCTGATTTATTATTATTGTTGTTTGAATGTTTGGGGGGTGGCAATAGTGAACTAAATGACATGGATTCAGAAGTATATCAAATAATTCTAGTGGGGATTTCAAGCATCTATTACAAATCAAATTATCCAAAAGACTGATTATCTCATCTCTCATATATATATTTTTATAATTAAATTAAAATTATCATCAAGGCCGATGGTCTAATTTGAAAGTATAGAGACAAAAGAGAGAATGGTTTAACACGTGATAATAATTTATTTTATAAATATTCTATTTAAAATGGTAAAATATTGTTTATGTCAATTTAATAATATTACAACTACAACTACTCAATTTTTATTGATAATTATATTCCGTCTAGTCTTTTTGCAATTCATTTTGCAATTATTTCATTTTATTTACCTTAATTTATCGAATAATTTCGATGTTATCCTCGATCTTGTGGATTCCCGAGTTTGATCAATTTCAAGTTTTGCATTTTCATCTGAATCGTTTGGTTCCCTTAGGCTTCTACGAAATGCCATACCTTCTTGTCTATTGTATCTATCACTGATTTGAGTTGGAGGTGGTGGATAATGTAGGACCTCCGGCTTTTTGTACCAACCTTTTCTTTTTGGCCTAGGGTCTTCTAACTCTGTTATTGGAGGTACACCGATAAACCTAACCTTTTTCCTGATTTCACAATTATCTGCCGATACAGTAGGATCTAATCTAAGGGATTGACTGAAGGAATTTTGTAATTCTAATTCTGGCATACTGATAGTTTTCGTAACAGCAGAGGAATTCATGATTTTATAATTCTTTTGAGTAATATCTTCTTTATTATTCATCATAACATTTTTATCCTTCTTTTTTGTCACTGTTCCAACTTTTGTTGTACCATTTCTCTCGATATTATTTTGACTTCGAGATAAACCATTACTAGCTGCAGCCTTAGAAGCAAATATAGAGGCATTAGAAACAGCATTGCTGGTTGGTGGGGGACGAGAATTATTTTTACTCATCAAATGAGTAACAGTATCCTGTAACATCTTCTGATTCAATACAGACCCTACTTGTAAGGAGTTTGAACGAGATGGAACCTCAGAAGAATTTAAATCTTCAGCAGATGAAGAAAATGCAGATTGCAATGAAGTAGATCTTTTTCTTGTCTTTGTCTTGGCGGGTTTTGTTTCGCAATGAACCTTCTGACGTGTCACGTTGTTGTTCATACTATTTAAATTATTAGAACTATTGTTATTATTCCTTGCATCGATCGATTGCCTTCTAGAAAGATTTGGAGAAGAAATACTTGATAATGATACGTTTCGTGAATTCCATGAACTTAAATTTGGAGACATTGTACCAGGTGAAGTTGTCGAACTTGAAGAGCTTGAAAAGGTGCTTAATGATGAGATTTTTCTCATTGGCAGTCTGTCGGGCCCCAAACAGTCTTCGTTTATTTGTTTTAATTTTGACTTTAAGGTGTCTTGTCTCTGCTTTAGCTTTAATTCACTCCGTTTTATTTCTTTCTCAACGCTTGCCAATCTATCAACCGCTTTTCTTTCTTGTAACATGTTCTCAAGCATCTCATCCGAACTATCCGATATTTTCGATTCTGCAGCACTATTATTTTGAATAAACTGCCACATAGTTAACCAAGAATTTAAAAGTGTCAAAACAATTCTTAGTTTCGGAACTGATTTAGTAACATTTATATGAAACCCATCTAATATATTATTTGGTTGTACATGAAAAGTGGTGCCTTGCCTTGAGTAATATTCAAGACTTTTTACCAAAAGCTCTGTATAGCTCTCTTCATAATCAAAACACAGTTTTTCAATTTTTCTTATCAGATTTTCATAATCATGAACATTTTCACTGCAGAGTTTAGTCCTTATATCATTAAAGTACTCTTTATTCGGGATATAAAGTTGTCTTGCTATACTGATTATCATATGGAGGGTAGATAATGTTCTGTAAAGCAAGGCATATATTCTATGCATACTATATTCCCAATGTGGTAGTTCTCTTAACATTTGTGTTGAAGCAGCTCTAGAATTGACATATTTATGAAGGTCATTATAATACGCCTTGATGCTTGGCAAAATAGAATTTTGAACTACCGAAATAAATTTTGTTAGGATTTGTAAATCCAACTTTCTGAATGATTCAGGTTTTGTATCCTGTTCTCGATCTTTAATCAAAACAGCCAAATCAAGACACATCGAGGTTTCAGAAGGCCGTATCAGATCATTTACTGCTTGAATATCAAATGGTCTTGCTCTTCCAAACATATCAGGGGGGCTATTAGCAGTTCTTTCAATCTGTACCTGTTTTAATCTATTGGAATATATTTCAATTGCATTTTTAACAATTGCTTTAAAACATTTCAAGAGCTTCCATTGTAATTCAGGGTTATACATATTTTTAATGAAAGTCTCAGAGTCTTGTGTTAATTCAGGAAATTTAACATTATAATCAATAGCAGACGTCGAAAGTGTTGGAACAATTTCTGTTACTTTGCATTGTCTAAATTCACACAACAAATTAAATCTTTTCCTTAAAGTCGAATTAACGTTAAATGTTTGACCCTCACAGAATGATAAAATATAATTAATTAAAGGAATTATTGAAGTATCTGGATTTTTTTCTAAATTTGCTTCCAAAGCACCTAAAATTTTGTAAATTTCCTTTAATTTGCCCAAAGCTGAGGCATATTGAATAATTTTTGAATCATAGCTATTAAAATAAACCGTTCCAATTACTGTTGGAATTGATGCAGTAGCAGCTGCTTTAGCCAGCATTATAATTTAGGAAACTATCCTTCTATTAGTCAATATAGTTGATCTAATGTATCAATCAAACCACAATGATATGAATGTTAATACTTTTATAATTATACTAAATTCACAAAATTCTTTCCAATAACCAGCTGTTCAAGTTATTAATTGAATTTCTATTTTGAAGAGAATACTTTTATCCAATTTTCTTCTCTTTGAAAATACTCCTATATAAATGAGAGTCTTTTCAACAAACTTCAAAACGAACAATTCAAATCCAATTGATTGTTTGAATTATATACTTATTAAATAATAATCAAAAATTATTATCCTTAACCAATAAATTAACTAAATTTAAACCCTATTTTATTATAAGTTTGCTTTGAAAACTGTTAATAGTTACCCATTCTCCTTAAATTTACTTTAGCGAAAAAACACAATTCCAAGTTGAACGAAAGAGACAAATAATTAGGACCGAATATATTTTTTTTTTATTTACAGGTAACTAATCGGGGGGTTCGATACTTGGATGCGGTATTGTTATTTTTTATTTTTTATTTTTTATTTTTTATTTTTTATTTTTTATTTTTTATTTTTTATTTTTTATTTTAAGTCTTGGAAACTTAAACATTGCATTTACTCTAGAAGTACAAGAAGTGAATATAAATAAACTACCAATTGATTAATCATTTAATGAGTATTTATAGATCTATATACCCTTTATTATTATTGTTATTATCTACAGGAATTTTTCTAACATATAAATTAGTTATTTTCTATAATTATTTTTACAAGTACTAAGTGAGAGGCTACAAAAAATAAATGAAAATAAGTCGTTATCCGTCATTCAGGTATCTATCATTGTCATTAACAATAATTAATGATTACCATACTTCATTTCAATTTCATTTCTTTTCATCCTCCATTAACCATTTCCAAACCATTTCTCTTTTCTCCTTTGTATGAATTAAATGTTTCCCAGGATTTTTACCAAACAAGAAACATTCAAATCCCATTTTAAAACGAGACCACAATGTTGGTACTTCTTGAGCTGTATATTCTTTTGCTAATTTTCTATGCTTTGCAGATAATGATCCAGAATGATTATTTAACATTGATAGTCTTGTGACAGATCTTAAAGAGCGGAAGTTAGTTCTGGTTACCATAATTGCAATCACAAAGGAAAAGAATACAACACCGCCAAATCCTAAATTGCTTTCTTCAATAAAATTTTTTAGATTCATTCCATAAAATGCAGGTATTAGAGTCGCAACCGTGATCCCTAGCGTATATATTGTAACCTTTAATTCTAAAAGCATCAGCGAATTACGATTTGCATCTAACATAATATTAACAATTTCTTCAGTAGATTTAATATCTTGTAATAATGAACCTGACTGTTGAACAAATTCATCACATTGAGTGTAATATGTTTCTAATAACATTTCTAATTCTGCAAAATCGTCCTTTTCAGTTTTTTTATCTGTCAAATATAATCCTGCTAAATCGTCATCATTCTCAAGAATTTCATCCAAAACTTCTCTAATCAATAAAGATTTTTGATAAAATAAACTTAAATTTTTAGATTTAATCAATAAATCTCTTAATTTATCTCTATTCACTTCATTTTCTAACTCTGTTAAAATTTCACCACAAATCGATGAATGGATCTTTAATTCAGTCTCCAATGCACACATAATATTGATCAGTACACTTTCCAAAGCTTTATGTTCATATGCTTGAGAGATATTGGAATTTAAAAAACTCTGTTTATTCTTTGATGATAATTTAGATTCTAAATCATACATTAAAACACCTAATTTCATTGCAGCTGTTTGATTAGTTGTATCAAAAACATATAACTTATCCTTACTAATTAACGCTTTAATATACAACATATTAATGACAATACAGTTCTTCTTAACTAGAATTGTTGGAATGATATCGATCGAGGAAGCATCGATCTTCCTCAAATCTCTTGGATATAATTCATATTGCCTTAAGAATGACCATTTTGGAAATTTCTGTGAAACCGCTATAACATCACCTTTTCCATTAAACACAGTACATGAAACAAATGAATCATTTGGTGTAACTGGTTTTAATGATAGTAGTTGGCTATTCAATGGTGGTAACAATGATTTATTTTTAATTTGAAATTTAACTGAAGATACACTCAAAAGTCTTCTTTGCGTTATATGAGATAATGGTTTAAAATGCAAAATTTTAAGCATTTAAACAATATTATTAATATAATATCAAATATGAAAATATTAATATACTTAGATCTAGTCTCTATCAATTTATACCCTTCAACTATCTACAACTATAACAAATTAAAATGGATCAACTACAACTCTTAATACCTTGTCTTCGATGACTTTTAAACTTTTTAAAATTTCAATTTTCAGCCTTTAAATTTAATACATCACTATAGCCAAAAAAAGTATTCAAGAGATAAGGCAATAAGGACTAATAATTATTCGAATCTCATATACTAGAATATAAAACTGTATATCAAAATGGAAGATGGAATTTTAAAGTATAATGCTTAAAGTATATAATATTTTTTTTTTCTTGATTTATTTATTTTTTTTATTAATCTATTTATTTATATCTCAAATTTGGTTTAGTTTTAAGGTAAAAAAAAAATATTTGAAATTATTATTGAAAACCCAATACAATTATTGAAGAAGGGAAAGGGAATAAAAAAACACCAAGTCAAATTAAAATGATCATTGGTCCCTTTATATTAAATTAATCGATGTCTGTCTTTCTGTAGAAATGATAATTAATGCCGATTAGATCAATCAAAAAATTTTCTTGTCTTTGAAGGGCCAAATAACTCTAATCTAATTGCAGGCAATGCTTCTTCACTTAACAATTTCAATCTTTCCTCTAAAGTATTGTCAATTTCTATTTTGCCATTTAAATCAGACACGATAACACCACCTATTAAAGTCTCGTCAAGATAAGAATCCTTTAAAATTGTAATTTTAATTTTTCTATTTGAAGATTTTTCGAATTCATCTTCAATTTCTTTTGTCAATTTGTTTAGTAGATCGCAATCTGATTTTTTAGCTTTAACAATGACATTTGATTCCAATAACTTCATTGCAGCTTCTAAAATTAAAGATTTTAAAACTTTTGAATATTTATTTTTATCATTTGTAACCTTAATTAAATCTTTTTTAGTCTTTTCAAAAATCTCATCCAATAACTTTTCCCTTTCAGACAATAAATTCAATCTATACTTATTCTTAATAGTTGATTTAGTAATTTGTTGTTTTAAAATAGATTTTTTCATTTTATCATTAAAATTATTATCAATGTTATTAATTTCTTTTCTTAAAATTTCATTCTTTTCAATTTCATATTCCTGATCAGCCTTTAACATAATCTCTTTACCCTTTTCATCAGCTTCTTTCTTAATAAAAGCTTGCATTTTCAACAATTCATCATTGACTTGATTTGGTGTCAAAGAAGTAATAGCAGACATAATAACAATATTATTTATATTTTCTCTTCTTTACTTTGTTTTTACAGATAAGTGTATATCCCCCCTTTGGTTAGCAGATAATTGGGAACCAATACAATATCAATCAGTTACAATATTCAAGAACCAATTGAACCACCTAATAATAAACAATGATTAATGACTACACCTTTAAATATATACCTAAGAATACAATACATACTTAAATTAAAGATTGATTAAATTGAATAAATTGAATAAATTGTTGCAATTTTCAATTTTAAAGAGATATATTAATGTTGCACACACAGTATATTGCAATAATGTAATACTATACTGTACAATACAATATCATTACGTACATAGAACGAACACAACAGCTCAGTATGTTTTTCCCACCTAAATTTATCCTGTTTCGAAGAACCGTACCAAGAGTAAGGACAATAGCAAGAGCAAGAGCAAGAGCAAGAGGAAAAGCAACAGTGCTCGTATATGATGACTAGTCAGCTGATCATCCACATCCACATCCACATCGATATTTCTCACGTGATACAATTAGTCTTTCTTTTCTCCTCCAATACGAACAAATCTGATTTGATTTGATTTAACTTCACTTCACTTCACTTAATCAACCGAATCAGACAATTTGCCTTTTTCCTTTAGGTTGTTTTGTTTCCCTTCCGCTCTTTCTCTCTGTGTGTGCGCTTGTGTATCCCGCTTTTTATCGTAGGTTTTTGTGGCATTTTACTCTTTTTTTTTTTTTTTTTTATTTTTTGTTTTTGTGTTTCTCTTTCTCTCTTTATTTATATTTTATATGTTTGTTTACACAAAAACATTCTCTGTTATATATATATATATATATATATATATAAATACAATCCACCTCTTTTGTACTTTTAAAAGCTTTTGCCACCCAACACCACTCAATTGAACTACAATAAAACAGAACCAAGGCAATCCAAAACAATAACAAACTACCTGTTCATGCCATTTTAACCATATCACCAAATGTTACAATTTACAAGCTTAAACGCTTGTAAAATTTACATTAATAAACTATTACCAAGAGTACGACAGAACACTCATACCTTTATTTCTCAATTGCATACCGATGTTGCTAACAAAAATATTCATACACATTTTAGTGAACCTCCAAGGATTAACCCAGTGGGTATACAATATTTAAGCAATTCTTTACATAATCAAGTCTTTGGTGATGCAAAGACTAATTTTAATAATAATAATACAAGCAACAACGATTTAATACAAAAAAAAAATTTAATCGAATATTCAAAACTATTGTTGAAAAATCATAATTTATTAAATAAGAAAACATTGATTACAAATCCAATTGATTTCCAAATTCCAAACAGATCTGGTAATTCACTAGATGAACATTTTCAAAAAATTGGGAATTTTGCATCAGAACCATTCAAATCCATGTGCAATGATAAATTTACCGATATTATCGCAAAACCAAAACAATGGATATTACAAAAAGGTTGGACAAGATATGCTCCTGGTGAACCTCCAAAAATTGTAGATCAACCGTTAGAAGATACTTTAGTTTTCGACGTGGAAACTTTATATAATATTTCAAATTATCCTACTTTGGCTGTAGCTTTATCACAAAACGCTTGGTACCTTTGGTGCTCTCCATATATTTGCAATAATAATGACCCAATTGAAAATGAGAAACCTGAACATCTAATACCGTTAAATAATTCGAACTCAAATAAAGTAATTATTGGTCACAACATCTCCTATGATAGAGCAAGAGTTTTAAATGAATACAATTTCCATAAATCAAACTCTTTTTATTTAGATACTCAATCTTTGCATGTCGCATCTTCAGGTTTATGTTCAAGACAACGACCAACTTTTATTAAAAATAAAAAATTTAAAGAAAAAGACGAAAATAATGACTATGATGATATAGATCCATTAGATCAAAATTTAATTTTAGAAAATCCTTGGTTAGACCATTCTTCAATGAATTCATTAAGTGACGTAGCATTATTTCATTGTGAAATAAAATTAGATAAATCACAGAGAAATTATTTCAGCACTCTAGATAAAAATTTAATTATCGAAAATTTCCAATCATTAGCAGATTATTGTGCAAAAGATGTAGAAGTAACAAGTAAAGTATTCGATAAAGTTTATCCCTTATTTATAGAAAAATGCCCCCATCCAATTTCATTTGGGGCTTTAAGGTTTTTGTCAAATTGTATTTTACCAACAAATCTAAAAGACTGGAAAAATTATATCACTAATTCTGAAAATATTTATCAAAACTCGAAAAATTTAATCGAAGATAAAATTATCAATATAATTAATGAAATTATAGTATTAAAAGATGATGCAAACATGAAATCGATTATTAAGGAAGATCCCTGGCTAAGACAACTAAATTGGCTAATAAAACCAGTTAAATATTCAAAGAAAAACGGCAATCCTTCAATAAAAAAGTTGCCTGGATATCCAGAATGGTATAGAACACTATTTCCAAGATCAGACTCCACAAAACCAAATATTTCAATTAAATCAAGAATAATCCCACTTTTATTTAAATTATCTTGGGAAGGATACCCTGTTATTTGGACTAAGAAAGACGGATGGTGTTTTTCAGTTCCAGTAGATTCAATTGAAAATTTCAAATCAAAAAATTATACCTTGGCATCAGATGATACAATTAAAGAATACTTTGATGATTTGAAAATTTTAGAAGTCGAAATTAATGACAATACAACACTATTTAAAATTCCGCACCCAAATGGTTCTAAATTCAATTGTACTAATTTATTATCAAAATATTATATTCACTTTTTTGAAAAGAATGTTTTGACTTCAGAATCAAAATATGCTTTACAGCATTACAAATCAACGCATCTGGGTCTTATTGGATGTCAACAAGGGAAAGAATAATGACACAATTCGTTGTACCCAAGTACTTATTTCCAAATCAATTCAAGGATCTGAATAAAGGCAAATCTGTAAATTCTAAATCTCATGATGATGGCAATTTAGCAATAATCATTCCTGGAATTATTCCAATGGGGACAATTACGAGGAGAGCTGTGGAAAAAACTTGGCTTACAGCATCAAATGCCAAAAAAAATAGGATCGGCTCTGAACTTAAAACTAAAGTAAAAGCACCTGAAGGATACTGCTTTGTAGGTGCTGATGTTGACAGTGAAGAATTATGGATTGCATCATTGGTAGGTGACTCAGTTTTTAACATTCATGGTGGTACTGCAATTGGATGGATGTGTTTAGAAGGTACCAAGAATGAGGGAACTGATTTACACACTAAAACGGCTAAAATCTTAGGTTGTACTCGTAACGAAGCAAAAATATTCAATTATGGTAGAATCTATGGTGCTGGTGTAAAATTCGCTGCTCAATTATTGAAGAATTTCAATCCTTCCTTGAGTGATGAAGAGGCTAGTAAATTGGCTAAAAGTTTATATGACAATACTAAAGGACAGTCAAAAACATCTAAAACATTTAAAAAATTTTGGTATGGAGGCTCAGAGTCTATTTTATTTAATAGGCTGGAAAGTATCGCCAACCAAGATGAACCTAAAACTCCTGTTCTAGGTTGTGGTATTACAGAATCGTTAAAGAAAAAGAATTTGAAGAAAAATTCTTTTTTACCTTCAAGAATCAATTGGACGATTCAGTCATCCGGAGTAGATTATTTGCATTTACTATGTTGCTCAATGCATTATTTAATTGAAAAATATCATATTGATGCAAGATTGTGCATTTCGATTCATGATGAAATCCGATATTTAGTAGCAGACAAGGATAAATATAGAGCAGCTATGGCATTACAAATTAGTAATCTGTGGACTAGAGCTATTTTCTGTGAACAAATGGGAATTGAAGATTTGCCTCAAAATTGTGCATTCTTTTCTGCTATTGATATTGACAATGTAATGAGAAAGGAAGTCGATATGAATTGTATAACACCTTCTAATCCAGATCCAATTCCATTTGGAGAATCTTTAGATATTAACAAACTGTTAGAGATGCCCGACAGTAAGTTAGAGAACCCTGATTCATCGATAGACCTATCGAACTATTCGTATACACCGAGAGAGACCGTATTTTCACAATATGATCGAGCTTACACAACAGAATTTTGGGACTGCTATTTAAAAATGCAGGTTCTTGATTCCAAGTGGAAAGTTGCACAAGTTGAGGAAGAATATACAAAACGACTGCGAATGAAAGAATTATCTGATACAAAACATGACAATAACGAATATGGATTATTGGAATATATAAAGGATAACAAGGTAGGAAAATGCCCAATATCGAAGGATAGGGAACATGAATCACCTAGACAAGTTGATGATGTATTTGTACGACATCGACAAAAGGTTTTACATTATGAGAAAGATACTCCTATAATTGAAACTGTCTATTTGCATGGGAAAGAAAAAGATAATCCACCACTTGTTCTAGATCCATATGTCATGAACTCATATGATTTGCATCGTTCAATGTCAAAAATCCCAACTGATTTCGACTCTAAATACATTGAAAATAGCAATAAATTGGAAATTCCATCAGAAAATAAATACAGTCATTCGACTTTTTTGAATGATAAATTACGCACAGATAATTACGAAACCCTGAAAACTTCGAATGCTACTAAGTCAAGATTGAAAAGAAAATATAACCGCGTTTATGGAGGCAAAAAAGCATTTGATGCCTTCCATGAATGTATAGGTGAGTCAAAAGAATTTGCTTTAAATAAGCAAATCGAGCTTTTAAAAATTAAACCTGATGATATCATTAATGATGTTTTAAACGAACCAATTGGTACCGCTACGATTGAGACCAAGCAACATAAGAGAAACGCCAAATTGATTCTCGGAACTCCAATAAAGAATAATAATAATAATAGTAATAAGTCAAATGACGAAAAAAGATCAATAAATTCAAGGACATTAAATACAAAATCAATATATGAAGAAACTAGAACTATTACAGAAAAATAATACATACCTTTCAAATTCAAAGTTAGGAACAATTAATTAACATTCTAAGAGACTTTAAACTGCATTTTAACAACAATTGTATTATAGAATTAATGAGCAGTGGTGATATCCTACTGTCAATTATTTATTCATTATATTTATACACATATATATACATTACACATTTTTTTGCATTTACTACAATACATGTTCATTTACAAATTGAATTGATTTCTTGTATGAATGTCACCACATCAACTATGGGTTTGGGTGACGTCTTTAAATATTTCTAATGACTCTGTTGTAGTCAGTTTAGATGTTAAGAATTGTTCAACCAACTTCCGTTTCAGGATTGGATCAAGAATTTCTATGTTGTTCTCCTTTTTTGATTCACCAATTGGTAGTTGTAGTTGTAGTTGAGTTTTATTGGGGTTCTCATACCGATCATTCTTGATAATTATTTTAGTATGATTATAATTTGCAATATCTAGTTCATTTGAGGATTCATTAGGAATTGAATTTTTCAACAATGTAGATGTCTCTTTCTCTCTAGCAAGTAACATTTTTAATGCCACACCTTTCCCTGTTTGTAAATTATTTGTACTTGCAAGGTCCAAATCATCTAACTTTTGTTGCTTATCACCAGACTTTTCAATATCTTCGTATAATTGCTTTTGATGTTTATAGGATTCAGTGATAAATTCTTCTTCTGTTGCATCATTAGTAGAATCTTCTTTGGTCAATTCTCTTTCTAATTTCAATTTTTTTGATTTCATGTATAACTTATCTTCATCTCTCTGTCTCTTGGATTCCAATAGTTCATTGATATAACTAGATTTCGTTGCATGAGTTGATGAAGGTACTATGATATCCTTGGAAAAATCAACCTGAGATTCGACAGAAGCATCTGTGCTTAACTTTTTAGATTTAGCACTTTTTTCCTTTATATACTGATTGAAATCATCATTACCATCACTATCACTATCGTTATTACCATCACCAAAGAGCAAGTTCTTCTTTTTAACCTGTTTCTTTCTACACTTTTTAGCCATAGTTGTTAACTAATCATTTGATCTAATATTGTCAAAGCTATCTTCTCCTTTCTTTAAACAGGTTTTTTTCTTTTTAAATAATCCTTTGATTCACCTCACTTCCACTAAATGGAACCACTAACCATCTATACCAGCACCCAAATATCCATCATATACTCTTCAAATAAACCTTTCAATTCCAAACCATCTCTTCTTAATACATCATCTTCTGTTCTATCAGTTCCCTCAGTAACCTTTTTTCTTTAAAAATTACGCAATTGAATGAAAACTATAAAGGACAATTCCAATACTTTTTAAAAATCGTTGTTTAAAGGTTGTTAGATTCTATTAAACTGAAAAAATAGGAGAAGTAAGCAATAATAGGCATCCAGGATATTGAGATTGTACTTTTACAGGAGCTGGTATTGCTAGTTTGATTATTGTTGTTTTTAAGGAATATATTGGTTAAAATTGTGGCTCTTTAATATTATCATTGATACTAGTCCTTTATTTTTATTCCTTGGTTAAAATTGGGAAAGAACAATGTCATTTGATTGGTTAAATATTCCAGGCATCGAGAATGGCAGGTTGAATACTGATGTTGCTCATGGTGAAGATGGTTCATCACCGCCTCCTTCAGTTTCGTTTGATTTTGGAGTCTCTAACACTACCGGTAGTGCTGTTAACCAAATAGATGACGTACCTGGGAATTTACAAGTTCCGGACACTCTTCATAGTTCGAAACCTAATATTACAATGGAGACTTCCCATAAGAGTTATAGCGATTCTCAACTTGCTTACAGGCAACCTTCTTCGAATGTGAATGATAAGAATGTTAATAACCCATATACACTTCAAGAGAGTGCTTCTAATAGATCAGATACTGGTACTGAATACAAGGAAAGTAAGGAAGAATTGCAGGTTCCTTTGTCCTTGTCCAGAACCCAACTTTCAATAGAAGAAGTTAAAACTTATTTGAGGTGGTATAATTATATTATTGCTAAAACTCATAATAAGTTGGTTAGACTATATGATGTTTTCAAATTCTTGATCAATTTTAGAATTACACAGGAATTGGAAGGCCGTATTGGTTATATCTTTAGAACTTGTAAAAATTCTCTAAATATTGGCCAGTTTTTCGCTGTTATTAGACTAATTTCATTTTATTTAACCACTGGAAAGCTACCGAATAGAACAATGATTTTACAAAGAGCAACAATCCCAAAGCCTCGTCCTATATTATGTACTGATAATAATGCTGAGGTTTATGAAGAGATTGAAGAAGAAGCGCCAGAAAGTGCAGGTGTAGACTTTGATGCATTTACTTCTTTATTGTTAACTGGTCATAAAACAAAAAAACGTGTCAGACGTGTAATAAGAGCATCTTCGTTAAGCAAAAGAGTAAGGTTTTCAGAAAATATAACGTTCCAAGAGGCTTCTAGAGATGAAAATGGTATACAGCATGTCGAACCACAGCATGAGACGAATGATGAAAATATTACTAAGAATCAAGGCCCCTTAGATTTAACATTGCCAATGGATCAATTATTGAAACAAATGGAAAAACAAAAACCAACAAACAGTGGTTTAATATCAAGCTTGCCTACTGAGCAACAGGAAACTGAAGAAGAAAAGGCTGTATTGGAAGATATGAAAGATTCCTTATCACATTTCAAACAAATACAAACAGTAGATTCTGCCTCTTTAATGGGATTGCCTCAGTTTTCTCAGGAAAATATGGGCGGTAACGTAATGAATACGCCTTCTAGCATCAATCAATCGCCATTACAACCTCTGAAGCCAACTGCAACTGGTTCTGGTAACCATTTATTTCGTCAGGAGTACAACCGTAACTTAGCATCTAGTCCTGCTTTAACCGATTCACAGAATGCCATGCAACCTTTGAAACCTACTGCTACTGGATCAGCCAACTATTTGGTTCGTAGTCATTTTGAACCTGCACAGGCTCTAGAAAATAATCAACAGTTTTCCCAACAAATAGAAACTCCAAGTATTAGTATAACAAATACAAGCATGGGCTCTGGTTCTCAACCAATAGCTAACAATAGTAATGGTATACAAGCTTTACAGCCTACTGCAACTGGATCAACGAATCAACTATTGAAGCAAAACATTAACCCAATCTCTTCCAATAATAATTCCAGCCAAATGCAAAATGGAGAGCTTTATTCTTCACCTCAACATACTGGCCAATTTCCAGCCCCAACTGGTGGTATGGGTCTATCACCCCAACATAGTTCCCAACATTCAATGCCACAGATACGTCAACTACAAGCACAACATAGTGCACAACCTATGATACAACAATCAAGAATTTCACCATCCATATCTATTCAGGGTCCAAGATTAAACCAATTGCAACCACAGCACAGTGCACCCCATCTCCCTTCACAACAAAATGTGTACTCCAACTATCAATCTGTCCAGCAACTTCATTCGCGCAATAATATAAACAGTGTGAATAGTATGAACAGCATGAACAACATGAGCAACATGAGCAACATGAGCAACATGAATAACATGAACAACATGAACAACATGAACAACATGAACAATTCTAACAATATGAATAATATGAATAATATGAATAATATGAATAATATGAACAGTATGAACAATATACACAGCATGAATAATCCGAACGGTATGAGCAACATTCAACAAAACCTATTATCTAATCCCACTCCAGCCAGCAACTATTTCAATTCACTATTGTCTCATACACCATCACCTTCAGGAAGTAACTTGAATTTAGCCAGTAATACGGGGATAAATCAACAAATGTTACAACCACAACCTATGCAGATGCAAATGGCACAAAATAATCAGTATAGTTCAAATTTCAATAACATTCGTCAATTTTCCCCTCAGCATTCACCACTTCAATCACAACAACAGCAACAGCAGCAGCAGCAAAGTGTCCACCAGCCGCAACAACAGCAATTCAACCAGACACTTCAACAGTATGGAAACTCTCAAGCTCGTGTGCCATCTCTCCAAGGTGACATTTTAGGTGACCTTCAATCTTGCAACAACAAGTGGAAATTT